AAACCCCCCCTGAACCCCCCGAGCCCCCCGCGCTCACCGCCGCTCAGACCCCGGAAGTGTTTCCCGACCGCCGGAAGTGGTGCCGCGCGGGGGCTGCTGGGAGTTGTGGTCCATCAGCCAGAGCCCCCCCAAACGCCGCCCCCGCCCCATAAATGCTCCTATAAACCGCGCTGAGCCCCAAAAAATCGCGTGCGCACCCCAGAAACTGCCTCCTGCACCCCGAAAACCCCACGTGAACCCCAAATCCCCCTGTGCACCCCCAGAACTGCCTCACGCACCCCAAATCCTCCTGCTCCACCCCCAACACCCGCAGCCCCTCCCTGCACCCCAAATAACCTCTGAGCTCCACAAATGCCCCCAAAATTCATGGAGAATCCGCAAAAAATGCTGGAGAACCCCCAAAAAAATCCCTCCAGAACCCACAAAAACTGCTGGAGAACCCCAAAAAAACCCTGGAGAACCCCCAAAAGCTCTAAAGAACCCCCCAAAAACGCCTGGAGAAGCCACAAAAATATTGGAGAACCCCCCAAAAAAAGTACCTGGGGAACCCACAAAAGCCCTGGAGAACCCTCAAAACCTTCTGGAGAACCCCCCAAAAAGGCTGGAGGATCCACAGAACCTCTGGAGAAGCCAGAAAAACGCTGGAATGCCCACAAAAAATCCCTCGGGAACCCACAAAAACCGCAGGAAAAGCCCCAAAAAACCTCTGGAGAACCCAAAAAACATCTGGAGAACCCAAAAAACGTCTGGAGAACCCCCAAAAAAACCCCAGGAGAACCCCAAAAAATCCTTGGAGAACGCCAATAAACTTCTAGAGAACCCCAAAAACCTCAAGAAAAGCCCCAAAAAACCTCTGGAGAACCCAAAAAAAAAACATCTGGAGACCCCAAAAAACATCTGGAGACCCCAAAAAACATCAGGAGAACCCCAAAAATCCTTGGAGAACCCCAATAAACTTCTAGAGAACCCCAAAAACCCCTGGAGAGTTTGGCACTGGGGAGGGCGGAGGCGCTCGGGGGTTTGGGGGGATTTTGGGGGGGATTTTGGGGGAATTTTTGGGATTTTTGGGGGGGATTTTGGGGGGGATTTTGGGGGGTCGGAGCACCCCAAAAGGGCCTCCCTGGTCCCGGTGAGCCGGAGCAGCTCAGGAGTTAAAGGAAGAGGAAATCCCGGCAGGAACAGGGCTGGGGGAGGCCGGAGGCGCAGCCGGGAACCGCCGGGAGGTGCCGGAGCCTGGGATGGGACAGAACCGGGGCAGAACTGGGGCAGAACCGGGACAGAACCGGGACAGAACCGGGAGAGAACAGGGAGAGAACTGGGAGAGAACTGGGGCAGAACCGGGAGAGAACTGGGAGACAACTGGGGCAGAACCGGGAGAGAACCGGGACAGAACCGGGACAGAACCGGGGCAGAACCGGGAGAGAACCGGGAGAGAACCGGGAGAGAACTGGGACAGAACAGGGAGAGAACTGGGACAGAACCGGGAGAGAACTGGGACAGAACTGGGAGAGAACCGGGGCAGAACCGGGAGAGAACCGGGAGAGAACTGGGACAGAACAGGGAGAGAACGGGGACAGAACCGGGGCAGAACCGGGACAGAACCGGGAGAGAACAGGGACAGAACCGGGAGAGAACCGGGGCAGAACTGGGACAGAACCGGGACAGAACCAGGACAGAACCAAGAAAAAACCGGGACGGAACCGGGATGGACCGAGGGGAACTGGGACAGAACCGGGATCCTCGGTGTGGGAACGGGATAGAACGGGAATGCCGGGATAGAACGGGAGCCCTGGGTGGGAACCGGGACAGAACGGGAGCCCTAGGGGGAACTGGGATGTGCTGGGAGCCCTGGGGGGAACTGGGACTGACTGGGACCCTCGGTGTGGGACCAGGATATCCCGGAGCTCCGGGATGGAACTGGGACGTGCTGGGAGCTCCGGGAGCCACGGGCAGGACGATCCCGGCATGGAGGAGGTGAGCGGGAACCAACCGGGACTGACCCCACCCCGGGACTGACCCCAAAGAGGACTGACCCCAAATCGGGACTGACCCCACACCGGGACTGACCCCAAACCCACACGGGGGTCACACCCCGGGACTGACCCCACACGGCCCCGGGGCTGACCCCAAATCGGGGCTGACCCCACACCGGGACTCACACCCCGGGACTGACCCCACACCGGGGCTGACCCCACACCGGGACTGACCCCACACCGGGGCTCCGGGGTGGGAATTCCCGCTGCGGGCACCGGGATGGGGCCGGGCCGGGCGGGCTGGGCTGGGCCGGCAGCCAAATCTGATCCCCGGTCCAGGAAAGGGCACCGGGAGCCACCGGCACCGGGGACACCGGGACCGGGGACACCGGGACCGGGGACACCGGGGACACCGACACCCGGAGCCCGCGGGACGAGGAGGAGGAGGAGGAAGAGGAGGAAGAGGAGGAGGAGGGGGAGGAGGACGATACCGACGTGGCCGGTGACACCGAGGACATCCCGCTGCTGGCAGGGGTGACCCCGCGACATCAGCGGCGACAGCAGCGCCCCGCCAGGTACCGGCACCGCCCCCGCGGGACAGAGGGGACACCGGGACACCGGGGACACCGGGACAGAGGGGACAGTGGGGACAGAGGGGACACCAGGACACCGGGGACACCGGGACAGTGGGGACAGAGGGGACAGAGGGGACATGAGGACAGCAGGGACACCGAG